TTGCCTTACAAGGGCGTTTTATGAAATCATCCCGTTTTCCGTAAAAAAAAAATGGTAAACCGCACTAGGAATTATAATTTCCACTTTATTAATTTACATCTCTGTAAAATATGGGCATTTTAGTAATTAAATGCATTCACCGAATATGGACTCAAATCTGATTTAGGCATCACAAATTTGGAAGCTAATAGAAACACAAGACTCTAATTTACAACGTGCCCCTGGTTATGCTCGTATACAAATTACCATCTGGTATAATGTGTATAGTCAACGACATCTTACTTCAGTCGTTCGGAAATCTGAAATACAGCCATAATATAAAGTTTAAAGGAAAATCTGAAGAATACGCCTCCTTGAAAAAGAAGCAGGAGAAATGAGCATAAAGTACAAGTATCTTTGCTATAATCTTGTTTCTTTATGTCTTCAGTTATCTAAAAAATGTAAGTTATTCAAAAAATGTTCTCATCCGGTAGCTGAAGTATTACCACGTGTTGTCCAAAATGTAAAGAATCTACAATTTTATCTATTTTGTATGAGTGTAAAACTTGGTCTCTCACGTTAAGGGAACAACACATTTTGATGTTGTTTGAAAACAGTATTTGGACCTGAGAGAAGTGAAATAATAGCAGACCGGAAAAAAATTGCTTAACTAAGAATATTACATTGTACACTGCATCTTCCATAAGATACAATGCGTCCTTTATTTATAAACATCACCGTAGCTTTATTACTAGTATATAAGTTTTATTCGTTAAATAAAGTGGATTATATTGCACGTGCTGTACCCATTGGGTATTGCTTTCTAAAAGGTTTTGGTTTTTCTTTCTTGTACATTTCTCGCTTACTGAGTGACATTTCGAGGATAGTGTATGGTTATAGGTTCTTTAGAACTGGATAACATAGTAAGGTGGAATCGGAAATGTGTTGAGATAGCTGTGATTAGATTAAAGTGGATGTTTCCTGAACTCGCCTACCAGGACTTAAGAGACGTATGCAGTAACTCCATCCACTAGTATTCCTGCCCTTATTATTCGCCGCATGTGCCATGTAGTGCCGACAATGTAAAATTGTGTGTTAGGAAAAACACGTGTATTTATTTAACTGATGGTTGCTTTTAAAAGGATGTTTCAAGTAACGCAACTGAAACCTTTTTACAGAGAAGATCAAAGTGTGCCGGTTTGATTTTGTTAGGAAATATATGTGTTTTGTTATTGGGTAATAGTGATTCATTCGAATTATAGGACGTCATATGCAACTTTTCTGAGATCGAAATGACTCAGCCAATCAAATAAACATCCTGTTATTTTCTATGCGAAGTCGCGTAGACCGTTTCCTGAATTTTCGGTTTCGTAATTTTTATTGACGGCAGACGTAAAGTTTAAATATCATTAAACACTTTCATGTACAAGAGTGTCTCTTCTAAGTGTTCATTTGTTATTTTATTCTTCCATCGTTTCCTGTGGGCCAAAACGCAATAGAAAATCTCTCTGAACACGCACTGTTTGTTGCAATAATCTTTCGCCTCTGAAAGTATTTACCTTTCTGTCGTCTGTCTAAACACTTAAGGATTAGAATTTAAACAACTGTAGTTTCACCTGTTGTTTTATGTCAGTAGAACTTTGTTTCACCCGAAGGAAACAACGCGGGTTGAGGGAACAAAATGTTGAGGAGAGTGAAATTTGGTCGAAAATCCTGAATGGGGGGAAAAAAACATTTTGAATGCATAGGCGTAGATAGGAGGATCATACTGAAACTGATTTTAACCCTCTTTACCCTAAGCTTATCTAAATATTTGTTTGAGAATTCAACCCGTACCGCAAAGAAAACACAACGCTTCATAATTGCAAATAGCAGCTGGTTGATGCCGTTCAAGGAATTAATCGCTATTACAGTGAGAATCCTATGAAACCCGTGGATACAAAATTCACAGTTACTGATTTTTAAAGCAGGTGGTGTGTATTTAAAGGGCTGATGAAGCGGTGTGAAATTTCCTGTGCTGGATTAAACTGTCCCGGCATGGGTACTATAGAGCAGTGGTATTCAACCTGGGGTACGCGAAGACTTCTTAGGGGGTACGTGAAATTTAAAAAAAAAAAAAATTATGATAAACACCGAATAATCAGTAATGTAATTTATTTAATTTATTTTAGATGTAGATTATATACTATGTATAACTTGAATTATACACCAACAACTTTGGGGGTACAAAGTTGGAAGAGAAATTATATCTGGGGGTACGCGAACAAAAAATGGTTGAATACCACTGCTATAGAGGGTTGTTGTGAGCACGGTGATGAGCTATGGTGCTTCTTAAAAGGCGGAGATTATATTGACCGGCCAAGTGACTTTCAGCTTCGTAAGGTCTAATTTAACCGATCATGCGTAGGAATGATGCAGATGTGAGTTCAAGTAGCGGAGAGGTTTTGTTGTTTTTGTGTGTCAGTATGTAATGTAAATTTGTTCCTGAAAGAAAGGCCCATTCATTCCCCATATAAGTCAGTAAACAAACCGAGACCTATAATTCAGTAAGTTGAGAAACAAGGCTTGTAACGTTTGCTGCCTTATAATGTGCTGGGAGGCGTTGCATCGTTCTGTGATTGCGTCAAATTACCCCCCCCCCCCCCCCCCCAACATTGCCACATCCACCACATATGCTGCTCTGTACCAGTGATCCCTGTGTTATGTCAGTTCGTATGTACATGCTCTCTGTTCCCCGAGTAGCTGATTGATGGTCCAGATCTCGCAGGCAAGAAAGACATAACTTGGTTTCTTATACGTCTTGTTAACTCACCAGATAACTGGCGATCCTGTCCACCCACATCTGTTAATTTCCATCTTATTCCGCCATTAGTGAACGAGACTGGTCTGGTCATCGAGATGTGCTTTTGACAAAACCAGTTTACGTGGGAAGTGGTTGTAAGGGATGTGAAAGGCTCAAGCAAGTATTTTTCTCGGGTTGTGCAAGGATGCAGATGTGTGAATATGGATATTCCATTATATTAATGCGTACATCCAACACATTACGTTAAAGTATCTTTAATGAGTTATGTCTGCAATATCAAAAAGCGATGTAATTGATTTTATACACACCAAGAGATTACAGCAGATTAAATCCATTCTTATACGAATCAAGTTGACAAAATTAAAATTCTTGTGACATAAAATTATTTTAAGCCCCCATTCTGTGATGGGACTTAGATGTCTCTTTAATTCTGAAGTGGGTTTTACTTCAACATGTATGTGCCATTGATAGTCTAAAGTGTTTACATATAAGCGCATAACATGTGGATTTTCTGGCACGCAGATTCTAATTTTATATCTGTTGCAGTGTCACGATATTGTTATTTCAACATAATTGAACTCTGTCCTGTGATCTCGGAATCTTTTAGAATATTGTGAAATCGCGCCCCGATGCGTTCAAACCGCTTGCAACGAAAATACTTCTAGATAAATCAAATTCATTCCTAAACCAGACGTCTACTCCCCCTTCTTAGAGTTGAGTCACTAAAATAAAGTCGGAGGGGGCTGTTGGTGTAAAATTATCAAACTTGTGACTTGTGGTCACATGCACCCTATCTTATCGAGTCGAGGGCCTCAAGGTTATAAAATAGGTCAAATGGTTGAAATCCGTGCCAATTGACTAAAAATATTACTGACTTATATTTAAAATACGTTCACGTTGTTCAATAATTGTCCTTAACAAAATTAGTCATTTGATAGGCATTTGACATTGATTTTTCTTGCTTTTATTCGTATTCCAAGAAGGATTGTTCTGAATTCGCTCTGCATCTAATTGCGTTGAAATAAGATCTGCATGTGCTTCTATGAATAATTTTAGGGACACATCATTTCGAAATATTGAAACATTTAATTTTATGGGTCCATATACCTTCTTAGAGAACTTTCTCAAAAAGCTCACAGTCATTGTTTTGGAAATATTAGTTCTGCAGACCTTTGCTAGTCGCGAATTTTAGGCCCACGAATTTTATCGAGTAACAACTTTTGGCATAGCTTTCCGATATCGGCTTAGGCCTTGTGTCAGCATCCATGGCTGATCACGAAGCTACAGAATAATTAGGTTCGCTGTCGTGTTTAGGAACACCTGCGATCGGCTAAGTCCCTCTCTTTTTTAAGTCTTTGTATCCTATTGTGTTAATTCTACCAGGCGAAATGGACGGATTCGTGAAGGAATTTTTTGGTCCAGAACATGCAATGGAGAAACATAGACCTGTGAGATCAGAATATTCTGACGGCAGAGAAGAAGACGTCGTTCTTTTGGATTGTGACGCCGTGTGGACTCGCGTTTACTTTATTCGGTTTGTAATACGATGGAACTTTCACAGGTGGATTCAACAAAACTACAGAATGACTTGTGGATCCAAAACTATGTCCAAGACCGCTCTTAAATGTGTTTTCAATGCCCGAAAGTCGGCGGCAGAAATAAATCTGTAATATTTGTTAACACACAGGATTCTTTTCTCTTTCTGTTTTGTCATCCATAGGTCTACTTATTTTGCCCTAATTCTTTGTTCTTGATACATTGTAATGTAGATGTTACAGTAGTTTGCATTCGAAATTTGCCCTGAATAATCAGAAAGGTCGAAAACTTCAGGCTTCAGAATTCAGCCGACGAACCTCCGAATACGATACGGACTGAAATGGTTAGTCGCTACTGTTCTGTCGCTCATGGGTCAGGCGCCCCTTTTGATAATTGCTATTGCAACGGAAGGTAATCGTGTAAGTAATTGTTCTTGAAACGTGCAGTAGTCACATATCCACTCATTGAAAACGAACTGTAAATAATTTCATCGCTAGTAACTTCGTATCCATCACTGCTTGTTAAGGAAAGAAATATGGACGTCGTAACTTCGCCTAGCTGCAATTCGGGAATGCATAATGCTGTCTGTTAAAATCCATTGACCAAATGTGACGCTATTAGAACCA